TGAACCTGATTATCCAAAATGTGAATTATTTTAAATGTTTTGTTTTTGTGATTTGTTTTTGTCTTAAATTGTATGGGTGTTACATAAGTACACATTCATTTCAAATGTATTCTTAAGCCTAGGACCATATAAATGAGATCATTTTAGCAGTTAAGTTTCTGAGTCATGTCTATAATCGATTTGGAATCTGGTAGGTTTATTGGAAAACTGGCATCATCTCTTTCATGAACTGCTCCCATAGTTTTCTGAATGATCTTCTTTAATATTTTGTGCATACAAAAACATGGATACCGTGTGTTAGCACTAAAGCCAAATTATGAAATGAAAACGTGTAAATTTCCCACACACTCCAACAGCGAACACATTTCTAAGAGCAGTGACTGTTTCTAAATGATATGCACTAATTTAAAAGCACTCCTAAACATTCTATGGGCTCCTCTCCCTTCAAAGGAATCCATGCCCTTCATTAAACCTCTTGCTAAAACAAAAGCCACACAGAACAAAAATAGTTTAGCATGCATTTCATTCCCCTTACTTTAACACATGCTATACATTTTTAGTTTTCCTTGTTTTTCAGAATTTCAACAAAATGGCATCAGGTTAGATGTGGTTTTTTGGGACCTGCACATTTTCACTCAGCGTTATGTTTTAAAGATCTGCCTATCTTGTGTGTGGGGTGGTGGTTTATTCACTTTTACTATGGAATCACATTCCTTGCTGAGAACATATTCAAATATACTGTATCACAGTACATAAAATACTTGTCAATGACCAGTTGTGCTGTTTCTTGCAACTTGAGTTGATGCATGAGGGTACTTTGAAAAGTTCATGAAAAAATAAAAGTAGGAGTTTATTTTGGTGCAAACCTTTCTGGAAAGCTGTGCACAGTTTTTTCAACCTATGAATTTTCTATGAACTTTTTGAAGGTCTCCTATGTGTTCCATTTTAGGAAAGTGTTACACTTTAGGATAGTTGGCAAAATAATTTGAGATGAAGTTATTATCAAGTAATCGGTGTTTTTAAAAAATAAATACAAGCAGTTTCTGCTCTGTCAGATGGAGAGTTAGTCAAATATCTCCGGAAAATGATGTAAAACAAAAAATGTGATGTTTTGTCTGTGTGGTTGGAATGTAGACTTCAACTTAATGTTTGTTGATGTGATTTTATGCCCAAGGTTGTAAAAAGACGTTTGATTTGGGTGTGTAGAATTCAATCATTAAAGAAAATTAAAAAAAAAATCACCTTTGTTTATGGGATCGAGTTACAGCCTAAAGAAAACAAATTTGGATTCTTTTAAAATAAAGATTAAGCAACATAATTATAAGCATATAACTTCACTGCCTAAAATAATAGTATTGATTTCTTGAAACTTCAAGAAAACACATTTTAAAAATTCACAAATGAAAAATCATTTCAATAAAACAAAGAGAACAAAACCAAACCCACAACCCCTGCAAGCGACTATATATTCCCCTTTCTTCTAGAAACCCCCTTATGTTCCAGAGGATAACTATGTGGACATTTTTATCACGAATCTACCATTTTATAACTAATACTAAAAATATATTGTGTAGTATTTAAAGATTTTTAGATGAGCATTCTACTTTTAAAAACCAATGATAAATTGTGGTCCTAATTTACATGTATTTTTAGAATGCTGAGCACCAAATATACAAAAACACATTGATATTCCTTTGTATTTGCAGAGGGGTTTGTAGGCATCATGGCTAACCTCATGAAGGAACACTGAAGAAATATTCAAAAATGAGTGGACTGAATGTGAATGATTCACACATAGTGAGTGCCTCATTTTTAAATGCTACATGCTACACTGAAGTTTAAGATTCTGATGTATTTCCTTGGTAAAGTCTAGGAACATCTAAAACGAGAATATCGTCTTTAAAAACCAAGGTGAATTTCAGTGCAATAGAACAATCCCATATGTATGAGTCCATCTCCTAAGTTAAAAAAAAAAAAAAAGAAAGAAAGAAAAAGTTCGATTTTCCTTCTATACAACTGACTCACTGAATTGAGCTAAAAATTTCCAAGGGGAAAAATGATCTAGGACATAAATACAGAAAGAAAAGACTAAGTTTCCGTTATGATAGCTTTTGACCTGTTTTCAGCTGGGAATGCAAAATTTTCTTTGCCGACGATGGACTGCAGCCGTCTTTTACAAGGAGAGAGCCATGAAAGACCCCTGCGTTTCTTTTCAATCAGGTCCCCTCTTACCAGACAGCCTGAGCCAAACGCTTCTACTCGATCTAGACACGCACACGTGTATTAACCATGTTCTTTTTTAATTTATTGTTAACACCAATTAGCCCGAGTTAAGAAGTCAGACTGCGTTAGGACCGACACGTGGTGCAGACACTATTTTTAAAAGTCCACGTATCTCAAATTCCTCTCTCCAGCCATTGCTGGGTTGTTCCCTTTGAGGGTTTGATCTCCGCAGCGTTTATTCATTAGATGGCAGTCCCCGGGAAGACTCGCCTTGGGGAAACCTCTTCTGAAAATTCGAGAAAAACCCCGAGACCTGGGGTGGGTGAGGGTTTCGACTCTTTAAACGTTGCAAACGAAGCAGGAGGAACGTGCCCGAGAGGACCCGAGGCAGGTGCGGGTGGGTTTCCGCAGTGGCCACGGATAGCAAGTGAGTGAGGCGTGTTCCCGGGTTGGGACCAGAGCCAGGAGGTGACTGCGGACCCCGGCCCCAGCCCCGGGCTCCCATCTCTGGGCCTCTCGGACACGCCCCCCCCAGTCCTGGCCCGGCACAGAGCACGCGCCCCGGCCGCTCCCCGCAGCCTCCCACGTGGTGGAGCCTTGAGCAGCGCGAGGCTGCAGAAAACGCTCGGGACCGGCGGCGGGTCGGGGAGGC